ATAAGAGATAATAATTTGAAATCGGCCGAGTTGTCGATCAGCTTGTCAATTTTGGGGAAGGGATAAGCATATTTTGGGCAAGCCCAATTGAGATCGGCATAATCAATGCACATGCGCCATTCTCCATTATATTTATTTACAAGAACTACATTCGAGAGCCAGGTTGTGTACCGAGCTTCAGAAATAAAGTGTGCCTCTATGAGGTCTTTTACAGCTAGTTCGGCATCCTCCATTTTTTCCGGGGACTATTTTCTTCTGCGTAAGGTGACCGCCTTGAGGATAGGGTCTATGGTCAGGTGATGACATGTAATCTCCGGGTCCAATTCAGGCATCTCAGTTGCACTCCAGGAAAACAGATCAGTATTCTCCCTCAAGCAAGCTTTAAGTTGCCTCTTCGCCAAGTTGGGGAGGTCAGCTCTGATCTTTACTCCTCTGGTGGGATCATTCTCGAGGGGTATGATCTCGAAGTCTCTATCGAAGATGGGTCGTGCGGGATCTGAGAGTTCCTTGCTATTTGCAGATATGGATGAACTTTCTCCTTCGACCATGGGCTATTTCCTTTTCTTTCTCTATTCTGCGCGATCTTCCTTGGAGAAGCGACTGTCGAGGTCGATGGCGTCGACCCTTGGAGTGGTTTGGCCTCCTCGGAGCTGGAGGGAAGTGTGGCCCCAGTGGTCGTTTGAGGTTGAGCATTGATGGAACTCAGGCCCCTAGCCGAGGCTTTAAAACATCTTCTTGTCGTCTGGATGTCCCCGTGGAGGGTGGCGACCAAACCCTATGCAGTGTAGTATCTTATCTTGAGGTGTACGGTGGAGGGAACCATGATCAGTTCATCCAGAGTGGGCCTCTCGAAGATACATTGATAGAGAGACGAACAATCCACTACCAGAAATTTAATCTTGATGGCTCTGGAGGTTACCCATCTTATGAAGGTGACGATTAGCTCGACATACCCCTAAGGTTTGGTATTGGCCCTGTTGAAGCCCCAGAGATCTTAGCCCACGTACGGGGTAAGGTGGCTTTCGTTCAGCTATAGGGTAGCGAACAACTGAGTGTACATGATGTCTATCGAGCTCCCTTGATTGATCAGTATGCGCCAAACATCAAAGTTTTCCATGTGAGCCCTCACGAGCAGTGGGATAGTCGAGTTGGGGGCTCCGCCCGACAGCTCCTCCCTGCAGAAAGCGAGGGGATGCGAGCCTCCTTGGAACTTATCCAGTGTGGCGTCCATGTAAAACTTGGCTTTGATAAGTTGCTCGAACCTTCTTTTTACAGATTCCATTGTATGCTTGTTGAATCCCCTACTAGAGATGACCATCACAACAAGGAATGACTCCCAAGGACTGTGAGAGGAGAAGTACAATGTGACGTTCTCCATGTCTGAGAAGTAGAAATATTTTGGTCGCGAGATACTCATGGAGACCGGTATAACGCTGATGTCGGGGGACTTCTACCCCTCTTCGACGCTCTTGGTTTTCGAAAGCCTCCTCGTGGGCACCCTCTTTCCTCTTGTACTTCTTGAGGTGCCCATCTCAGATTAGTATCTCGATTGCATCCTTGAGATGGATGCAAACGTCGGTGTTGTGACCATGGCTTTTATGGAACACGTAGCATTTTCTCTTGTCATTTTTGGGCTTTGTAGGCATCTGTCGGGGAAAGCGCACCCCAACATGTTTGAATTTAGAATTGGTGCATTTGGACAAAATATGTTCCCACGAAGTGGTCAGATGGGTATAGTCGTGAAATCGACCAGCAGGCCCCTTGTAATCTTTGGAGTCTCGGGATCTGTCCTCCCGCTTCTTTTCTCCCTCCCCCCCCCCCGACGAGATGTCGAGGGCTCGTCACTTGTTGAGAACTTGGAACTTTCTCGGTGCCTTGACTCGTTGGAATTGTTGGTGGCTTCTTTCTACTCGTATTGAATGTATGCTTGAGCCTTGAGGAGGAGGGAGTCGAGCGTGGCTAGTTATTTGATGCCCACTGCTTTTGCAAAGTCGCCACAGGGATGGAGCTTGCATTCAAGAAGGTATTTCTTCATGGTGTCGGTCATGGAGACTTGTATTGCTTCTTTATTGAAGCGCTGGATATATGCTCACAAAGACTCATCTCTGCCCTGGATAATCACTTCAAGTGAAGCTTCTGATTTTGGATGTCGACGAGAGGCGGTGAAGTGCCTCGAGAACATCCTCCCTAACTGTTTCCAGGAGGTAATAGACTCGTCCGAGAGGATTTTGTACCAAGACATGGCTCCCTTTCTCAGGGTAGTCAGAAACAGTATGCACTTGATGGCGCCCCTGACCCCTCAGTAATTGAGGAGGGCATTGATATTCTCCATGTGTTCATCAGGATCAGTTGTATTTTCATACGTTCCCAACGAGGGTGGCTTTTCTAGACCGACTGGGAGCCAAGTCTTTGTAATCTCTCTTGATAATGGGCCGCGGGGCTTATCATCATTGCTTTCCTCGGGGGATGAAGGCGGGGAGTGATAGTTCTTTTCCTGTCGGGCATCATTGCCTCGTCGGGGGGAAGGGATCCTTCAGTGTTGTCTTGGTTTAGGCGACGATGATCGGCCGCAGTCAACTTGGCGGTTGCTCTTCTTATTCTTGGAGGATGAAGAGCTTTGATCTTTCTCGGGAGGTGTGCGGTTGCGTTTCTTAAAGAAAGAAATGTCGCGCTTCTCCCTTCTTGGAGGATGACCACATCTAGGTGGGGATATTCTAGGGGAATCATGTTGTCAGTGTCTCTGAGGAGGAGACTTTAACTGCTTCTTTTCCAAGGCTCATATCTTCTTATTCTACTGTAGGACAAGGGTGTTAGTCTAGTTGGTAGCAGCGAGCAATGCTGCAATGGTCGGGTCGGCATTATGAGGAATGGGAACTGGTTGTAGAATCTTCGGAAATTCCTTGATAGGGTTCTTGGGACGCTGCTCGTCCAAGAACTGATGTTCTTCGTGCTGGGCATCGACTGAATTTGAGGATGCAGTCTGGACGTCGCGGAAGCCGAGGTTATCCTCGAGGTGAGGATGTTCTTGACTTCTGTCGGTCTTATGTGTCGGGGAAAGTGCATTATTTCTAGATAGGTGGTGATCATCATGGTCGGCCATGATTGATGAATGAGGAGGATCTTTGGTCTTCAGATTATGGGGAACAGAAAACGAGGAAAATAGTTCCTACAAACGGCATCACTGATCTTATCGGTTGATCAGAACCTGCAAGGTGACCAAATGATGATCTTCGGATGGGCTGGAAAGTCGAGGAGGAAAAAGGGGGTTGTACTTGTAAGGCCCCCGACGATCAAGTAGGTGAGGGAGAAAAAGAGATACAAACAAAGTGTTAGGGTTTTAGTGATGAATAGTGGATATTCGATCCTTGGCCCTCACATGTGTGAGGATTTATATAGTGCCCCTGGCACTTGGCTATTGGTCTCTATTTTTGAGCCTATAGATATGCAGATCCGCAAAAATAGATAACTGTCGGAACTTGGTCAAAACGGGTGGGTATGCTCGTAAATAACCGTTGGTTTCGAGCAGGGGGATTATAGGAAGATGGTCATTTCAGAGCTTTCCTGGTTGTCTGCTCGACTCGTATCGAGCTGACAGGAGACAACCGCTGACTGGGTCAGGCGCGGTTGTCAGGAATATCTGGTCCTCTGCTCGGGGCATGGTCGAATAGAATGTTAGGCCACTATTGTTGGGCCATAGAAGCGGATTGGTCCAATTCTAGTCATTGGGTAAGTCCAGAACAAAAGCCAACTAACACTTGCATCTTTATTGACGGGAAATGTTAAATCAATTTCTTCAAAGCCATCAACAAGAGAAATGGCTCTATCGTCTTCACTATCATCTAAGCTTTCAACATACTCCTCTTCTAACACGTCCATTTCCTTCACCTCATTAACATGCTTAGGTTCTCTATCCTCATAATCCATGTTTTCTAGAGAATGTTCCACAAATATATCCCCATCAATAGCCATTGCATTGAAGTATTAAGCAAAATCATATGCATCATCATCTTTTCTTATCAGAATAAATCCATCTTGAATCTCTAATACTTTTTTCCAAACCCTAAAACTACCACCCTTATACTCCAACTTACTCACCAACTTGCCAATGCTTTCCATTGTAAAAATCGCAACGTCTACCCCAATTACTGTTGTATCAACGCCCCCTCTGTAAGTAATTTACTTTGGATTGACCCTTATAGATTCACCCCCATGGTGAAAGGTGACATTAAAATGTATCGATTCCCGTTAAGAGAATATACCAAATTTCATATTTCTCAAAAATCATTTCTAGTTGCCTTAATATTACCAAGTAACGTCGAAGATGTTTACAAGTCAACTTACCTGAGACATTACAATCTTCAATGTCTTCACAATTGTCTTCGTTGTTGTTCGTGCCTTCGATTATGACCTGTTTCATCTTCGTCTTCGCAGTGTGACAACCTTCTGCTCCGTCTTCGTCTTTGCAGTTGAATGTTCTTTGCATAAATCCTAACAATTACAAGGTTTTTTTTGAAAACTATATACCCAGTAAGTAACCAATAAAATTAACCAAAATGCCATATGTTAAAATAAAATTACAACGTGGACATATACTGAAAAAATGAAAGAATTCTCCATGTCACTTGGCATTTTGGGGTTATTTAAGGGAATCTAAATAAGATAAGGGGGGATAAAAAATTATAGTGGCTAAAATTAAAACTCGCTAATATTACGTGGGGAGTTTGAATATTTAATCCTTATTTTTATTATGTGTTTGCTTGTTCGTTTTTGTAATTGTACTTAGTTGATTAGAACCTCAATTAAGTAAAACCTTATAAAACATTTACCACAGTTAAACATGATAAAATAGAGTAAATATTTATTTTTTTCACAATCATGTTGTGTCTTGCCTACATATAACTTTAAAAAACTCAAAGAAGCTACCCTTATTGAAATTTCATATTACAATTAAAAGACTTAATAATAAGACATTCTCCCAAAATGAGAATCTAATATGTAGCTCAGAGTTTCATGTCTTTCTTAAAAAGAAAGTCTCTAACACAAAGAGGTAAATGGTACATGATAGCCATGACAGTAGTATATTGACCATAGGAGAACCATGCAGGTGATTTCTTTCTAAGGACAGCAGCTACAGTTTGTTTAGCAAACTCGTCTGCATGTGTTGATTTTGAACTCTGAGAACGTACAAGTCTCTCTCTGAATCCTGCTTCAAATGATTTGAATAGTTTCCACTCAAGCATGTTGTCGTGGGTGGTCAGGACTGATTTTACCATATTTGATTTCACATAGCCACCAACAACATTCACAACATCAATTCCAAAATGTCCAAGTTCCAATCTGCATGTTGAATAACAACAGTTCTAAGATATAATAGTACGAGTAAAAACTCAAACAACATAAAAAATTGACCAAGGGAAAATGAAAACCTTAATGCGTCTGTCAAAGCATGAAGAGCAGCTTTAGAAGCAGCATAGGCACCCGTCCAAGGTCTAGCGGCCAACCCCACAATACTCCCAACATTCACAATCTTTCCCTTTTTCCTAGCTGCCATGTGAGGAACCACCGCCTGCACCATTCTCAAAGAACCTGCGCATGTATACAAAACTAAAATTAAGAATCCAGTTAATAATATATTTATATTTTCTTTATCTGAAAGAAATACCAACCAAAAACATTGGTTTCAAAGGTGTTTTTGATCGTCGATAGAGGAATATCTACGATTGGACCGACACATGGAACACCAGCGTTATTGATAAGAATATCAATGCCACCGTATTTATTTATAACAGTATCGACAACTCTGTTCACACTCTCATCGGACAAAATATCGAGTTCTTGTAAAAAGAAATATGGGTGGTCTTCCAAGTCCACCATGGTGGAACGCGACCTGCTGGTGGCCACCACTATACAATTGTTGGCGGCGAAGGAGCGTGCAAGCGCGTGACCTATTCCTCCACTGGAACAACCCGTGATGAGGACCACCAATTTTGAATCTTCCCAATCATTGGCATTGATCTCCATTGCGTTGTGTTTGTTGTTCATGTGTGATCGAAACACGAGTTTTACTTAAAAATACATTATTTTTCGACTTTAAAATGAATTTCATTATCATACATTAAGAATTACTTAAATGCATATTATTAAAAAGAGATATTTTTCTAAATATATTGAATAAACAACCTCTTTAGAATATATGCACAATATATATTCAAAGAATGTATTTTGAATATATGCACAATGTCTTTATAAAATAACTTTTTTTAATAAAAAAATAGAGAGTAGGTAGGGTAGTTGAACTTAAATGTGTTAGTTGAGTAAGTTCTTGGTTTAATTTTTAATCGTAACATTTATTTATTTTATAATATTTTAATATAAAAATTATAAATTAATAAATTTTTATTAAAAAAAGAAAAAAATAAAATAAATCTGTTACAATATAATAAAATTATTATATGCACTATATGATTTTTACCATTGTAAAATGACTTTGACTAAAAAAATGCAATACTTTTATCATTATAAAACAACTCAAATTAAGAAATACAATGTTTTTTACTATTATAAAATTTTCATTGACTAAAAATATATATGTAATATTTTTTATTAAAAGTGATTCACTTAATATAAGAAATCTCTTCAAACTTAATTTAGTTAGATGTTCTATATTTGAAATCAGCCTTGTTATGATATCTGTGATTGATAATAATAACAATTTGTTAATATATTATTTTTTACAAAAACAATTTTTTATGCAAAAAAAAGTTTTCAAGTGTAATCAAATCACATTACTGCTTTAAAATAAAAAAGAGGTGTTTTCATAAAAATTGTGAAGTAAAATTTTATTAATAAAGTACAAAATTCTATCTATCACATTATTGTACGACACTATATCAGATTCAGCTCGTACGAGTGTCCTAATAACAATGCTTTTATGAACAAACATTGTTAAAAGAATACGAAGGAAAACTGACAATACTTTTTTTTATATAAAATGGTATTGATATTTAGTTAAACAATAAAAAGGGGTTAATAGTCATAATCACCATCTCATTCATTTACCTTTTTTTTTTTCTGAATACAAATGTCGTTCAACTTGATTTCTTAACTATATTTCAGAGTTTTATTTTTTTTTTCAACATTATTTTTTATTTAACTAAGTTATTTGTACGAATGTTCATATAATTATAGTTCAAACATTATACATATATTATTGTTTAGGTTATATTTAGAGCAATGTTTTAAAAAGTGAATTGAACTGTTCCATTGAATATGTTCAATTTTGAATCGTTGTCTAATTCGATTTAGTTTTAATTAATAAACGGTTAGATCTAAAATATTAGAATAAAATTACTTCAATTGTGAAAAATTAAAATAATTATAAAATCGGAATTAGTTTTAATGAATCAAACGGTTCAAAAAAACAAAGATAATTTTTTTTTAATGTTTTACTTCACTTTATTTCTTTGTTTAAATCTAAAAATTATTTATAAAAAACATTTAAAAATATATAGATGAAAAATAAATAATAAAATTGGAAGACATGAGACAATGTAAATGCAAATAGAAAGAGAAGAAATAATATTGTAATATTTATGGATACGGGGTAACTGATATTGGTCTTGGAAGAGATGTGAAAATTATTTTGATTAAAAACTTGTGGCGTTGAGTTAAATAATTTTCTGATTTGTTATTGGGTCTTACATTACACTCTTCTTCTTTTTTAAGCTTATTTATTAGTATCATATTTATTTGAGAATTTCATTTTATAAATTATGATATAAATTAATTTTATTAAGATGTTTAATAATATATTTTTTAGTTTAAAATTTTAAATTTAATATACGATTCAATTAAATCGATTGAATCTTAACCCACATGTTTTAACAATTTTTTTTCTCCGATTTGATTTTTAGAACTACTAATATTTTAGTTGTTATAATATTATGAAAAATTAATGAAAGATGTTTAGGTTATGCTTATAGAGGTCATATATATATATATATATATATATATATATATATATATATATATATATATATATATATATATATATATATATATATATATATATATATATATATATATATATATATATATATATATATATATATATATATATATATATATATATATATATATATATATATATATCTTATTATTTATGTATAAAATGTAGTTTAGTGTTCGGTCGTTTAAATATTCGGATAGTGGCCATTGATAGTTCCTCAGGTTTCAAGTAAATCTAACTTTTTCCACTAAATTAGTGGTGAAAGAATTTTTACTATTGTGTTTGCTTTATTTTTCCATACATATTCTATCAAAATGATCTCATGGTGCCGAATTCGATAGGATCATGGAGTTAATTTTATATAATCTAAATAGTTAAGTTAGAAGTTGAATTTAATTTAGTTGGGCTTTTACTATTTAATTGGACTTTTTAGCTTTGAGTTTTTTACTTTATTATCTATTACTAGCTCTATATATATACTCTCATTGAGAGATTTGGGATTATGAAATGAATCAAACAATCTTTATTTTCTTAGATAGCTTTATTTATCTTCGTAATCCTTAGCTTCCTAACTTAATTTTTTCATATGTGGCTTTATTGTTTTTTTCCCCGAACTTTCTTCAACATGTATAGTATAGCATGGCATAATCACTTAATTGTGTCTCTTTCACTCTTCACGTACAATTTGTTCACAGTTAGGGTTACTTTCCCCTTTCTTCCTTCGTCTGCATTACAACATCTTCGTCCATCTTCATCGTCCACGTCTGACCATCTTCATCGTCCTTCTTATAGCATGGGTGGTAGCAAGTCGTCATCATCAGCTGGTAATTTTGGTAGGGGATTGTCAACCTATGGGTGCAACGAAACAATGAAGATGTGGGTATGAAACACAATTGATAACCCAAATAGGAAATTCTGGAAATGTAGAAATTCAATGGTAGGTGTTTGTTGACTGTTTATGTGGGACGATTTAGCTAATGAGCTTCAAGGGAACGACATGAATCTTTCAAAATTTTGTCAATGTAAAATCAGCAAAATTTATTTGTGTGAATTTGTGAAGGAAATCATCAAGGAGATTGAATGTGCAGTTGGGAAGAAATGGGGAGAAGAAGGAAGCTCAAATAAGTCAGAAAAAATTAAAGAAGAAGCTTGTAATAGAGAAGAGAAAAAACCTTATTCTGATTGTTGCACTTATTTTGTCATGGATGGTTTTTGCAATAATGTTTAAGTTAATGTAATTGTTTATCATGGATGATTATTGCAATTGTGATGTAATCTGATTCAATAGTTCTTGGTAATGTAAGGTGTATTGTATTGTAATTGAATTGGCTTATTGTCGTACTCCAAAATATGCACTCCCATTTTACTCAACATATGCCTATTAAGACCCTTAACTTGCTCAAGGACACCCAAGAGTTGACCAGACAAACTCTCTCCTAAAGCTATGAACCTCTAACTAGGGTTTCCATTTTCATCAAGATAGAACATACACAATGCAAAAGGACAAGGACTGCAGTCGTGAAATCTGAAGAACAAAACTCAAATTTTGGCAAAAAAAGTGGTAGATCATTTTCTCACATAGAGGGTGATTCAAGACATTCCAAAGCTTCTAATCACTTCCTGGATATCTCCTGAAGCTAACACGATCAATTGCAAGCATTCTCAAGCCCAAAATCATCCCATAGCCTTCACACAGTTTTCCCTTTTTTTCAAAATCGATTACAACAATTCTTGCATCATATGTATATTCTAATGATGTATTTGTGATTATTGACATATTTGCAACATGCTCGAATGATTTAATTGACGTTTTGATGCATATATTTATTATTACCATGGCTAGGGTTTAAGAATCCATTTTGGGGCTTCTCTGTACAGGTAAAATTGGACCAAGAAAATGGTGTCATGATACTCGTGAGATCAAGACGAGTTGATTGGTGTATTTAGAATTCAATTTATCATGCGTTGTATGGATTTTTGAAGATTGCAGGTTTATGGCTATGGAGTTCTATCTGTAGGTATAAATCTGATACCTAAGATGACGGACAGGGAAGAAGATGATGACTTATCACCACCCCACTGGTCCATTTGAATAATCGCGCGTTTTTTTTTAAATTTTGTCCAGCCTATCCACTTTGTTTTATATATATTATGGTTTAATCTTATCATAATAACAACTAAACAATATGGCTCAGTGGTGAAGCGTGCGTTGGATAGTGGAGAGGACCTGGGTTCGACCCCAGGTCCCTGCATTTTCTTTATTTTCTTAACGTTCCTTTGCAGATTCTGTGAATACACATTCCAAGCGCCTACCGTGTGGTCTCAAAATCCAGCCACTGGATCATTGCCAACACAGATCCAACACTCAAACCAAGGAAGGACCATGGTGCACTCTTCAGGCGTACCAACACTGAATCAGGCGCAGGCCCAGTTCTATTATTTTTTATTTCAATTCTTTTTTTATTACTTATTAATTATTTCTTTTTTCAAAATAACACAAAAAAAACATCATAAAATCATAAAAACATCAACAATATTTTTATTAATTCATTAGTTTAATTAAATTAGGGTAATTTAATTCTCTTTTATTATAATTTAAAATCATTAGAATTAGGGTTTAATTTTGTACATAACCTAGTTTTTTTCTCAAAAATAACCTAAATATTTTTTTAATTAGATTTTTAGGTTTTTTCCAATTATTTCTCGCATTTAATTTTCCGTGCGCGCCTTTAATTTTCTTTTTCTATTATTGTAACTGCTCCGAGTTTGTAATAGATTTAAGTAGGGTTTTAATTCCGCATTTTATTTTCAGTCAAAATAATTATGTATCTGCCCAAAGCCTTGTAATAGTTAGGACTCTAATTTCTCGCATTTTAATTTCCGCAAACTACAAACTACTTAGATGTATGTTAATAGGATTGTATGGAAAGACAAATTGAAATTAAAACAGTAGAAAACCATAATTGTGCAAAGATAATTAACTGAAAAAATACACTTGCACATGTTCACTCCT